CAACCTTTATAAAATCTATGTTCTTGATTTATTAAGCTTTGTTGGGAAAAACTTTGTTTTGGTTATTCAGATCAACCATAAATCTCTAAAAGGTTCGATAGCTTAACCTGGGTTAAAAGTTATTATTTGGTTGGAGATAAGCATGTTAAAATATCAAGATCAAATTGTATTAAAGGTTTATGATCATAACCTATAAAAGCTCAAAGTTATAGTTAAAATCGCAAGAAGAACTCTTGGGACATGACTAGGCCAACATTCAGCCAATCCTAGATAACTATGGTGCAATCTCTCTAACCCTTTATTCTCTTTTATTTTATGCAATTTACTTTCATTATTTTATTTTCACTGCAATTAATTGCCTAAAATTTTACTAATACAATTTTAATCGAGAAGGCTAAAATTAATCACAAATTTTGAATACCACAATTTACCCCCCTCTTGTGCTTGGAGTTGTATGTCCAACAAGTGAAATCAGAGTCTAACTTCTGTTAAGGACTAATCCTCTCAGGAGGAAAAATTACTTCAAGATATTCACTAAACAAACCCTCATTCTTTAATGAAGAAAGGTATAGTTTGTGGAAAGAGAAAACAAAGTTTTTCATATAAGGGATAGATGAAGGTATTTGGAAGGCTGTGAATGAATGTATGTTTGTTCTTACATACACGGTTAATGGTGTGGTAGAAAACAAACCTGAAAAGAATTGGACCAAAGATGATAAAGAAAATATGCAGCGCAGTTTGAATGCAAAAGTTATCATCACTACCACTCTCGGTCTCGGGGAGAAATAACATTTTAAATCCTATGCCTTACTTTGAAGTGCTACTGTCTATCTCTATAGGTAACTCGTTCATTCTTACATGGGATCTATGTGCTTTGATTAAATTATGTCTTTTTTATAATGACAAAGGGGGAGAAATATACTCTTAGGGAGAGTAGAGTATACTCTCTACTTATTTGAGGGGGAGTTTAATAACTCCAAAATACTTGTATCTATTTTTGTTACCACCTTCCCTGAGAGATGTGTTGTCATCATAAAAAAGGAGAAGAATGTGGATCTATGTTCTTGTAGGTCATAAAGATCCACATCTGAAGTTTTGATGACGATAATGTACGGCAATAACTTCCAACCTTGATGATGATAGTAAAACCAAAGTATCTTATGACTCATCAACAAAAGGACTCAAGACTAAAGTGCATGTACAATAAAAAATTATCTAGAAAAAGTCTTGAAGCTCTTCGGAGAAAGATGTGAAAGCTCGTCAGGTCTTGTCTGTAGGTTTATCTAAGTGAACCGAGTATTGTAAAAGTAAGGTTGTAGCTTAAGAGTAATAAGACAAATCACACACCTAAACCACCTTTCAAAATGATTCTATCCTGAAAATGATTTTCTAAGCCATAACCAAGTGATTAGAAAGATGTTCAAAACCTTTTTCAAATTATTTTTAATCATCTAATCGATTGGAAAAATATGCCAATCGATTGGCAAAACTTTTCTAATCAGCCAATCGATTGGAACATTATTCTAATAGATTAGAAGAGTGCCAATAAATAAGGACAACACAATAATGACTTGTAATGACTATATATCCAATCGATTAGATGAGTTGTAAATGAGTTGTCTAATTGATTGGAGCATTTTGCCAATCGATTAGAGAATCAATTTGGCCCATGGATTATTTCCTTTCTTAGTTTTTCAACCATTAGATAAGAGAGGGTCTTCCTCACTTCAAACCATACCAATTTCCAATGTTTTCATATTTCATTGGAATTTATATTTCTCTCTCTCTTCAGAAAAATATTTCTTTCACTTAGAATCGCTATAGTGTTAGTAAGTGAAACTTTAATTGGGAGGAAGTTTTTCTTATAAGTCATTGTGTTGGTCGTTTATATTCTTAAGATTGTGATACCTTTAAGACATTGTGTTTGGTTCTTAAGATCAACCTTTATAAAATCCATGTTCTTGGTTTATTGAGCTTTGTTGAAAAAAACATTGTTTTGGTTATTGAGATCAACCATAAATTTCTAAACGGTTTGATAGCTTAGTCTGAGTTAATAACTATAATTTAGTTGGAGATAAGATTGTTAAAATCTCAAGATTAGATTGTATTAAAGGTTTGTGGCATAACTTGTAAAAGCTCAAAGTTATAGTTAAAATCTCAAGAAAAGCTCTTAAGGAAATGATTAAGCCGACATTCATCTAAACTTGGATAACTCTATGGTGCAATCTCTCTAACCCTTTATTCCATTTTAATTTTTGCAATTTACATTCAGAATTTTATTTCTACTGTAATTACTCACCTAAAAGTTTACTAATACGATATCAATCGAGAAAGTCTAAAATTAATCACGAATTTTGAATACTACAATTCATCACTCTCGATTTGAATATTTTGCCAACTGATTAGATAATCAATTGACTCATAGATTGTTTCTTTTCTTGGATTTTTCAACCACTATATAAGAGAGGGTCTTCCTCACTTCAAACCACACAAATTTCAAATGGTTTCATATTTCATTGGAATTTATCTTTTTACATCTCATCGAAAAAATATTTCTTTCACTTCGAATTGCCTTAGTGCTAGTAAGTTTGAGCTTTACTTGTGAGGAATAAAGTTTTGTAAGTCACCGTGTTAGTCGTTTATATTCTTAAGGGTGTGATACCTTTAAGAGATTGAGTTTGGTTCTTGAGATCAACCTTTATAAAATCCATGTTCTTGGTTTATTAAGCTTTTCTAGAAAAAACTTTGTTCTGGTTATTGAGATCAACCATTAATCTCTAAATGGTTCAATAACTTAGCTTGGGTTAAAAAGTATAATTTGGTTGGGAATAAGCCTGTTAAAATCTCAATATAAGATTGTATTAAAGGTTCGTGGATATAACTTGTAAAAGCTCAACGTTATAGTTAAAATCTCAAGAACTCTCGGGGACAGGACTAAATCAACGTTCAGCTAAACCTGAATAACTCTCTAGTGCAATCTCTCTAACCCTTAATTCTCTTTTATTTCCTGCAATTTACTTTCAGTATTTTATTTCTGCTGCAATAATTCACCTAAAAATTTACTAATACGATCTTAATTGAGAAATGCTAAAATTAATCACGAATTTTGAATAGCACAATTCACCTTTCTCCCTCTTGTGTTCGAAGTCACTTGTCCAACAAAATATCGATTCGACTTGTTCCTTCGAACAAAATGGCTATGTTTTATCTTTTTATACCTAAATTAAATCTCTTACAATCTCAGTGAAAATATTACAGATTTTCACAAATTGAACTGGTAGTCCATCTTTATAATTTTTTACTGGTATTTATGAAAATGGAGAAATAAAACAATCTTTGAAGAGAGTTTTTAGTCTCCTAACAAGTCAACGAAAACAATCATACATCTGGCGAGAGTGACCAAAAATGGAAATCGCTTACAAAAAACAATTACGATATCAAGACCAATGATCAAACATAAACATGTTTGTTGATAATACTTAAATTGTAATTGGATTAAACTCAATTGTGATGGTACTTACTGATGAAAAATTAAGACACAATAATAAACCAATACGTAATAGATATGAAACTCCCCAAAACATATAGGAATCTTGAGGATCAAAAATAAATATAAGACGAAAATCAAACATATAAAGATACAAAAGAGAGTCTTAAAGTGATTCACAAACTAATGCTAACAACCGCAAATCACAATGCGAACTAGCTTACAAAAAAGAATAAAAAAGCTGAATTTTTTTTTCAAATTTACAGCTTCAGTGTGAAGCAAATAACTTTCACCTTAGGCGTTGTTTTGAAAATCTGAACGGTCAAAAGTTAGGTATACGTGTTACGAACCTGCCCATCAAATTTGAGCTCGATCCAACGGTTAACAAATCGGAAATCGTAAATTTAGTGAGACTGTGAAAAAAAACAAAAATGAATTTCTCTCATCTTTTCTCTCTTTTGAATCCCTATTTTTCTCTATCTCTCAATCTTAAATTTATCCTCTCCACTTAAATAAATGAGACAAATAGACTAACCATATTTAGATCTTTCTCTACGGGGTCAAACCCAACACTTACAAAAATTCTATTTTCATAATTGATTGCAAAGGTTTATTCAAAGATTCTTTAAAGAAATAGGTGGAATGATATGCACAAAAAATTAGTTTGTGTAATATGCTAATTGCCGAGATACGGACAATGTTGCATGGGTGGCAGTTGGCTTAACATGATAAATTTACAAATTATATTGATCGATAGTGACTATATATGTTAATAGATATCACTAGAGTTTGGATGACCACAATTGTCCAACTTTAGTCCGTAGAATAAAAAATATACTTATAAAAATTATACTTCAAATATATAATTACATAAACTAAGTTAAAGGCAAAAATACTTGAAACACATCGTACCATTACCAACTATCCTTTGGCTTGATGGTGAATGAATTAAATGTTTCAAGCAAAGAAAAGAGAGTTAATTTAGGTGGTTGACATAATTGACTAGACACGGGCCCTTGAGGTGATCTCACACTTAATACTAGTACAAACTCTACATTCATAGATCCCTCCCCTTCTCCATTCCCCTATAGATACAATCACCTAATTTTCAAAGGGCGAATTAAAGGGGAAGACCTTTCATATGTCTCATTTATTTTCTTGAATGGTAGTAGCTAGCTGCAATGAACTTTTCACCCCGTGCTAATACTCAATGCTTGTACAGTTCTATATTTATGAATGTACACAAAAGGGAAATTAGGTAGAAGCATATATCATCTCATCAAGTCTTTAAAAAAAAACAAATATAAAGCAAAAAAGTGAAACTTTATATCCTCTTCTCATGAGCCCCCACATGTTTCCTATCTATCAAAAAATATTGTAAGCATAATATTCCTCTTGTGTCATCATCACATAAAAGTGATGAGCAAAATCAAAACACCACCTATAATGTGTATATACAAATCCAAAAGAATGACCAATAGTACTATAGTAGTATATCTCCAAAGAAGAGTCTTCAAACGCATACTACAGAGGAAACTGAGAGAGGATAAAGATAGGTATTAGCATACTGAAAAGAAACAGTGCCACCATTGACTAATGGTCTGCCATCATTGACAAGGCAGTCGTTGTAACGCAGGCGTTTGAAAAGCTTTGGATTGATAAGACGTGCTGAGCTGAACCACCCACATCGAAGGTGTATAGCAGAAATGTCACATCCACTTACACACATGTTCATGATTTCTACTGTGTATGTTGGTATTCCACTCGGGAGTGGTGCCGTTGAGCCTTGATTTATCACAATGTCTGATTTCGTGCATTTCTCACCCCATATTCGGTTTGGTTCCACCTTCTCAGTACCTGCACAGTGTCAAAAAAATTATCACAAACCCATCAAAATAAAACTCATTTACCAACACAACGAAAAAAAACGTGTAAAAACAAAGAAAAACGAGTTCAACAAAATGAATAGCCAGAAAGTTTACAAAGCTTAAAAGGTCACACAATTTCTTAATCATGAAAAGAATCGCAAAAAGGTTCAAGAAATTTAACTTCAAACAAGAACACAAACTAATCATTCTACCAAATCAACTCACAGGAAAAGCAACATTTGAAACAATTTCACTTTGAAAATTAGAATGAAACGAAAAGAAAATTTACCAGGATGAGGAAGAAGTTTACGATGAGGAGTATGAAGGAGTGTGTAGTTTGTTCCTTCCTCTAATCCAAACAAGAACGAAAACGACACCAACGTTCCAGAGCGAGCCCCACCCCAAAATCCTGTAACCATACACAAAACGACAAAAAACAAAGGTTCAAAAACGGTTACACTTTCATAACAAAAACCACTACGTAGAAACAACAACCATCAAATCGTCTTCGAAAAGAGAAACGTACCAGTAAGAGTAGCAAGAAGTCCGATGGAGAAGAGTAGGAAAACGGCGACGGTGACGGTGACGCGTTTCGGTTCCATGAAAACTCAGTATATAGCTTAGAGTAGCATGGAAGAAAGAGAGAAGAAGAAGAAGAAGTGATTAAAGAGATAAATCTGCAGAATAGAAAAAGAAAGGTCATATATAACACATCACATCAAGTGATAGTGAAAAACGAATAATAGCCGTCGATTTGGTAAAGATGATATCACGAGACTATAAAGGGAAAACGAAGCGTTGAGTATAGGTTAGTCAACAAACCTACTCACGGTTTGTTTGTTGATAAATCTCTATCGCTCAATGCATTTTCTTATATACATTCACCGAGAATCGTGCCTGTTTATTTCTAGTTTGATTGTGAAGGGAACAAGAAAGAAGAAATAGGAGCGGCGAATAGGTGTCAATAAAAAACAAGTTCAAGAGACAAAAATGGCAGAGAGGTGACAAAACTGTGCACCGCGAGTCGTCAAAAAAAGAGTAACGCATTTATGAGGTAAAAAACACACCATGCCATTAGGTTTTTCCCTATATAAGCCAGACAATGTTAATCACAGACATTACACAAAGTTTTCTTACCTTTTTTAGAGAGAGAGAGAGAAAATGTTTGTTACTGGTTAGTAGTTGTGTGGATCCGGAGAGGGTGGGTTTGGCTTTATGCAGTGTAGGGGGATTTTCGTTTTCTACTGTTTTCTGTTTCAGATTTTTTATTTTATGTGATTAACTAACCATGGTTAGTTAGAGTAACTGCACGTGGGGGTTTTAACCGTGGCCGTGGGATATGAAATTATGAATCAATCTATCTATATATGATGATGATGGTGAATATTACAGTATGATTCATATTCTTTTGGTGAATGATTAGGTAGTTCTTTTTTTCATATCAGGTGTTGATTCGGGGTCCATTTCAATCATCAATATTTTCATATTCACTGTGTGTAACAAAATTTTCTTATTCTGTCGTTTTCGTAATGTAAATATTATTAAAGGGGTAGTTTGGTGAAATTTGGCTACGAAATTTATTTAAAAGGAGAGTGCAGCACACGCGGTCCAACCAGAATGAGGTGAAAACAAAGGATCGAGTGATTCCAAGAGTCGTTCGTGGTTTGAATGTACGCAAGCAGGCACATTCTGTTTTGTGCACGTACATGGGTAGAGAGAATGAGAATGAAGCACGTAATGAGAAGGGTCCCATTTTGGTACACTACAACTTGGCGCTAGTGGTGGTGGCTATTCATTCATTTTTTACAACTTGGCTTTTTTTTTGGTTTTATAGGAAAAAGTACCACCCAGCATAGGAAGGATATATTTCAATTTATCTTGCATGGTTAGTGGTGGCTACCCCAATTCTATCATTATGTTTTTGTTTCTTCATAATTTCACACTTCGTTATAGTAATGCAATTCAATCAAACACATGAGGATATAAGTTTTTTGAAAAGAAAAATAAATCCGAGTTGAATGAATTAATAAGAAAATTTTCATTCTTAAAGTTTTCTGAAGATATGAGACTAAATATTAATAATAGAATGTAAAGATTGAATGGAAATAGAAGGATGCAATTCTATAATCAAGAAAACAATAACTGGCTTTATAAAATTGATTGAAAAAATAAGGGTGAGTTGATAACGTTGAGAAATAAAATATGGAGAAATTTTACATTGAATAGAAAAATGAAGATAGATCATTTTATATGTTAAGCATGATAAATAATGCACATTGTGAGTTTTTTTAATAAGTTACCGTTGTAATCATTAGTTAGTTAAGTATTTTAATTGGTTATAAGAGTTATATATATATATATATATATATATATATATATATATATATATATATATATATATATATATATATATATATATATATATATATATATATATATATATATATATATATATATATATATATATACTTGATGCTTTGTAATGATACAATTCAGTTATTATATATACAAACTCTTCTTCTTCTTTCTTATGATGCAAGTTTTATTTTTCATTTTAATGGTGCATGAGTTGTAGTTTCATATGGTATCATCAATTTGTGGCTAGGATTTCATTGCATTCATCGCTGCATTCTTTTTACAACTCAGTCTACTTTCTTGCTCTACATTTCATCTTTTCCATTTCTTCTTCATTTTCTTTTATTTCTTCCCCTTTCCAACCATGTCCACTAATAGTTCTTCGAGTTTTGTTTCTAACCATGCTAACAACACACTCACTACTGCAAACAAAGGTTACCAAAATGACACACTCAATCCCTATTTCATGCACCCTAATGAGAATCCCTCTCTTGTTCTCGTCCCTCCTCTTCTAAATATTGGTAACTACCATTCTTGGTCAAGATCCAAAAACAAACTGCATTTTATCAATGGTGCTTTACCTCGACCACCAAATGAAGATCATGATTCTATTGTTTGGGATCGGTGCAACACGATGATCATGTCATGGCTAAATAACTCGGTTGAATTTGAGATTTCACAAAGCATTTTATGGATGGAGACAATTTTAGGCATATGGAAGGAATTGAAAGACCGATTTTATCATGGAGATGTGTTCAGAATTTTAGAAATTCAAGAAGAACTTTGCACCCTTAAGCAAGGTGATTGTTCCATTTCTTATTACTATACAAAACTGAATATGTTATGGCAAGATTTGGACAACTTTCGTCCAATTCCTACACGTGAATGTAATATTTCTGGTTCACCCATCGACAAGATTCGAAGCTATCGAGATTCTGATCAAGTGATAAGATCTCTCAAAGGCTTAAATGATAGTTACCCAGCAGTTAGATCCCAAATTATGTTGATGGATCTTCTTCCAAATATTTACAAAGTTTATTCTTTATTTGTTCAACAAGAAAGACAGCTTATAGTTCCTACTGATGAATCCAAACTTTTAGTTTTTCCTGCAAATTAGTCTCAAGGTAGAGGCATAGTTCCTTTCGAGGAAGAGGTCAAAGGGGTGGTAGATTCATTCATGGTCGTGGTAGAGGCATGCTGTAACGCCCATTTCAATTATTTAAGTTTTCCAGTGTTATTTTATTTTCGACGTGCTTGTGTGGGAATTGTTGGAGAAACTATGGTCCATAATATTAAAATAATATAATTGATAATAAAAATAATATGATAATTAGTAGTGTTATTATTATTATTATTATTATTATTATTATTATTATTATATTTAATAATATTATTGGAAATATTAATTTTGGAATAAAAGAAGTGAGGATTATTATTATTGGAATTATTTGGAATTAAAGGAGAATTTAGGGTATTAAGGGCATAAGTGGTAATTTAGAAATAGGAGGAAGAACGAACACGATAGAAGTGGAAAAGAGAAGAACACGATCAAGAGTGAGCACGGTGAAGAAGAACAAAGCTTGAGCAAGAGGAAGAAGAAGATCAAAGTCATCAGATTTTGGAAGTTCTTGGGCAATCAAAGCTGCATTTGAGGTAAGGGGGGAGAAAATAGATGGGAAATTGGTAATGCATGAATAAGGGTAGTAGAGGAGTCCTTAACCCCATAGGTTTTGATGATGATGAATTGTACGATGATGATTGCATGTGGTTGATTAAGTTTCTGGTTTTTGTTGTTCATGGTGGAATCATTGTACGTAATGTTTGATGATTGTTTGGGTGAATTGAGTATTTCGGAGTAGATTAAGGTTTTAAGCCGAAATTGGATTAATCAGCAGAAGTTGATGTTTTATCAGATAATTTTATAATTAGTTGGGTAGAATTTGTGTAGAATGCTAAGTTGAGGTTGTTGGTACTGATCTAGAGAGAATTGTTAGGTTTTGAGCTGCTATTGAGATTCTGCACAGTGGGATTTTTCTGAAATCGCAGACACTCGCTAGCAGGTTCGCTAGGCGAGTGAGTAGAGAGCATTCGCTAGGTACTCGCTAGGCGAGATAGGGAGCGAGCCATTCCAGTGGCCATTTTTTCTGTACTCGCTAGCAGGTTCGCTAGGCGAGTGGTGTAGCGAAGGATTCGCGAGGCGAAGTCCCAGCGAGGTCGTAGCGAACACTTCCAGTAGCTCAGAAGTGTGACTCGCGAGAAGGTTCGCTAGGCGAACGTGTAGCGAGCGTTCGCTAGGAGCTTGTGTAGCGATCAAAGTAGCAAACGTAGCAGAATTTTGTTTTATTTGAGCTGTGTTCATCTGATGTGATGATTGTGATCTGTTTGATGTACAAAGATAGTGCAAGGATATTGGGTGCATGTTGAGTGTAATAGGGTTGTTTTGCCGATGCCTAATGTGAATAATTCGATTGATGATTGTGTGTTGTATGATGATGGATCAGTAGGATCGTATGCACTTTATGTGCTTGATGATTGTGTGTTGTATGATGATGGATCGGTAGGATCGTGTGCACTTTATGTGCTTGATGATTGTGTGTTGTATGAGGATGGATTAGTAGGATCGTGTGCACTTTATGTGCTTGATGATTGTGTGTTGTATGATGATGGATCAGTAGGATCGTGTGCACTTTATGTGCTTGATAATTGTGTGTTGTATGATGATGGATCAGTAGGATCGTGTGCACTTTATGTGTTTGGTGATTGTGTGTTGTATGATGAGGGATCAGTAGGATCGTGTGCACCTAGTGTGCTTGATGTTGGTGTTTGCATAGCATGATGCATGATGGGATCAATAGGATCGTGTTGCTCCTGGAGGAGGGTTAATGGCCAAGTATCCATCGACGATTGCGAAGTTGAATCGTTGCTCGGATGAAGTGTATGTGATTCACTCATAATCGTGGTAGGGATAAATCGTTGCTCGGATGGAGTGTATGTGATCTATCCTGAGATTTGATTATATGTGCTCAGGAGGAGTGTGGTAGGGATAGATCGTTGCTCGGATGGAGTGTATGCGATCTATCCTGAGTATAAGTCAGTACCGCATGTATGTGTTGAGTTGCATTTGTGCATTATTGTATGCTGTGATTGAAGATTGGACAGTAGGTCGTGTATGACGATTTGTGGGGTGATGATGTATTTATTTACTGCCTTTATTTCATGTAAACATTTACCGTTATATTTCGATCAT